CCTCCTCAGCAATGTTGAGGCTATCCGTACATATCCTCAAATGGGTTTTGTACAATGTGCCATAAACATGTCCTCGAGCGATTGTTAAAACTCCCTTTGACATTTTCCTTGTCCCCTGCTAAAGTGGATTTCATACCCCTGTTTGTCAAGACATACCACTGACAGGAGATTGAGCCGAAGGTCTGGAACATATCTGACATCCTTCAAAGTGATTGTGCTCCAACTACTTGTCTTTATTTGCACATCACCAATTCCAGCTATTCCAGATGAACTGGAATTACCCATCTTCACCGCTCCAAAGTCTCCAGCTTTGTAAGTTGTGAAATAGTACATGTGGGGAGTAACGTGGTAAGATACTGCAGTATCTACCACCCATTCAGTGTCCTCTCTTGAGACATGCATACATGTTTCATCATTGGTAGTACAGTACGCTACATCACCTGAGATTGTGATGAGCGCTTCACCACCCTTGTTTTTCGTTTGTGAATTGCTCTTCCCTCACTCCTCTAGCAATTTGTAGCAATTCTTCTTCATGTGACCCTCTATACCGCAATGGTGGCAGGTATAAGAAGGTTTTCGACCATCTGATGATCTCCCCCGACTTTTGCCTCTGCTTTGCCCCTTTCCTCTACTGTTTCTTTGTTGCTTTCCTTGTAGTCTTCCTCGATTCTCCGTCACAAGGGCATGAGTACGTCTGATCTGTGCTCATGTCTTTCCTTCTTGCCTCCTCATTGAACAATGCATCCTTGAACACATACATGGTACGTTTGCCATCTGGGGCTAAGTTGATGAGACTAACAACTAATGTCTCCCAACTATCAGGAATGGAACTAAGAAGTAGTAGAGATTGCATTTCATCTCCAAGTGGCATTTCTACACAAGATAGTTGATTTACCAGACTCTGAAACTGACTAGTATGTTCGGAAACAGAAGTTCCACTTTTGAGCTTCATATTAACAAGGCACCTCATCAGTAGGGTCTTATTCCTAGCGGTCTTAACATGGTACATATCTTTTAACTTTTTCCAAAGGACATAAGCGTCGGTTTTTTGTGCAACATGGTGGAAGACACTATGATCAATCCATTGTCGGATTTGACCAATAGTTTTTCTATTAATTTTCTTCCACTCCATTGACTTAGGCAGACCAGGATTAATACCTTTCATCTTGATTGGATCAAAAATGTCTTTACAGCTAAGGAAATCTTCCATCTGAGGTTTCCATAGCGTGTAGTTGGTAACCTTTGAGCATAATCATAGCTTCGGAAGATGAAGTTGACTCGTCAAAGGTCATTTTCACCTTCTAAATAAATTTGATTTTCTGTTTGAGAAAAATCAGAGCAGAATTTTGAAAAACAGACAACATCGTTGTGTCCGGAACGGCCAAAAATGGTGGGTAGACACTTTCAGGGTCAAATTACAATTTTCGAAAAATTATAGGTGGAAATTATAATTTTCCAAAAATTGAGTGACCAAACTGCATTTTTTCAAAATTTAAAAGCCGGCCGGTGACGTGGCAGGTGACTTGGTGCTGACTGGGCGTTGATGTGGCAGCTGACTAGGCGCTGATGGAAGATGGCAGTGGACTGATGACGTGGCTAACACGCGGACTGACCAGGCTGGCTGACGCTGACGTGTTGCAGATGTCAGCACTGACCCAATCGTCTTCTTCCCTAGGCAGCGCGTACTGGATGACATCAGTGATGACGTCAGCGAGCTCCTCACCACCGGCGCATAGGTGGCACGTGTGGTGGCTTCCGGTGGCTAAAAAATTATCCAAAAATACTAGTTTTCTCCTCTCGACGAGACGAATCCAACGGTATATTCAGATAGTAATTCCGAGCAAAATTGAAAAAAAAAAAGAATTTTCAGACAATAGAACTTTATCTGAAAATTCTGGGAGAAATACCAAAAGCTCAACCAGGCTCTGATACCATTTGTTGGGAGTAACAGGATCATGCTAATATGAGAGAAAAATACTTCTATTACTTTTAAGAATAGAAGGAAGAGACATACAAGTTCTAACTAAAAAACTCTCAAAAACACTCACTACAAAAATTTACGGGATTGGCACGTAATTGGGCACGGACTTACCGATTTTCCCTGCCAAGTAGAGGTACCAAAGTGTTCGGCACGAATTTGTTACAAAAAATTACGGGATTGGCACCAAAGTGTTTGGCACGAATTTGGCATTTCCCTGCCAAAATTCATGTCAAATCCCTGCCAATGCCGTGTTTTTTATAGTGACCTCACATATCTCTCAAGGATATTAATTCACAACTCAAACTTGATTGTGCTATGATGATCTATGATCTAAATTACTTGCCGATAGAAACACTCTCCAAGCTCTCTATTTATATTACCAAAACGAGGTATTAGGAAGGTGGAAGGAAAGTGAGATTAAACATGAGGAAATTTCAATGGTGATTGAGTAAGTTTCCCTTATTATTCTTGGATATGGTGTAAACATATGGAAGTTAGGAATTGAATTCTTCACTTATCCCTTACCTAAATTGACTAGATGTAAACGGAAAGCATTAAAAAAGGAAATCGACAACTTAATTTTTACTTAATTATTCTAAATAAGATAATTAGTATACGGAGCAGTGTTCTAAAAAGCGCCTTAAGGCGCCGCAAAGGCGAGCCTAGGCGTGACGCAGGACACAAACGCCCCGCATGTACACTATGCGTGAAGAAAGGCGTACACAACTCAAGAAGAACTTAAATCGAGCGTACTTCGCTATTGGATGTTAAAGGCAACTGCCGAGTTATATAGAGACGTAGGAGTAGATATCAATTGATTGTTTCCGGTGTGGGAAAACAAATCAGTCTAAGTTGCTTTTCTATAATTCAAAGCTAGCTTCGGTGCACCAACTACCAGTCTACGAATACGCTGCGTCGCTATGTATTACCAAGTATACAATAAATTAGATGGATAATTTCTGTAATGCTACGTATATTATTATTAATTTATTGCCAGCATTATACCACATGGTTATTATTTTAATTGTTATTATTTGGATTTGTATTCGTTAACATCATTATTTCACCAATGAACTATTTCAGACTTTTGCTTTTGTATATATGTTTAGAGCCTGTTTGGTAACCCCTATTTATAGTTTATCAATTTTATCAATCAATTGTTTTTAGAACACATAGTTTTTTTTAATTCACAGGCTGAATTTTTTAATAAGAACACATAAGTATTTGAATTTTTTTAAGAACACATAAGTAAAGTTCGAGTTACTCCTCTAGCTGAATTGGTTGAGGATGTTTTAGCTATTTTCATGTATTTTTTCTAAATTTTATTAATAAAATACGAAAATATATTTTAACTGTAATTTTTCATAATTCAACAGATTTGATCAATTCAGTCAGAATTTCATAAACTTTAAGTGATTTATCCAATTCAACCAATTTCATTATTACTAAACGTGTCTTGAATATGTGTATATGTAACATTATCTTTTTAAGAACTTTAGAAGCTTGTTTGTGTTTGAATATGCTGAAATATGATGCTTTCACCTAATGTTTTCGAATTTAATTACAATTACATATTACTACAGCTTCTATTAAAGGTAAAATAATCAGTAAAAATACAAAACGCCTTTTCACGCTTTAACCCCGCCTAATCTCGCCTAGGCTTCAACGGCTTAAAGCTCGATCATGCTGCCTCGTCACGCCTTACGCCTTTTAGAACACTGATACGGAGTATCAAATTCTTACGATACTACATATTTTCCATATTTCCCAATAAAATAATTTATAATTCATTTCTTACCGTGAGCATTGAGCATATCATGTAATGCATGTTGGCGGTGGATGACCTAAGTAGGGCTAGGTGGGGCACGTGCCCTCGCTTCGAGCGCGGAAATTCACTAGTATCACTTAAAATAAAAACCAGTGCCCCTGTTTCGGGTCCAGAGTTTTTATTATATGCTAAGTTTAGTGTCTAGTGTGCTCCCGCTCTCACAAATCTCTGGGTCCACCACTGCATGTTGGGTTGGGTTGAATTTTTAAAATCGTTGATATTCTGACTAAAGTTGGTGATATTTTTTTTTTTGATTTTTTTTACTCCAAGGGGTCGGGGGGGGGGGGGGGGGGGGTGGGGGCCTGAAGTAATCAGGGCTGAAACTCACACCATTGAGTTTTAAACCCTTATTTGTTTAGCGGGTTTCGAACTCGAGACCTCCCACTAGCCACAGTAACCTCCCAACCAGCTGGGTTGGAATGCTTGATTAAAGTTGGTGAATAAGTTAAAGTATGTTCAATTGTAAAAAGTTATACATTTAAAATATGTTTTACTAATAAAACAAATAAAAAAATTGATGTAAATAAATTAACACATAAGACCATGTACTCAATAAAGTGTCATATAAGTACATCTACTTGTACAAAGCAATCAAATGAGTCCTAACAACTTATTTAACACCTCATAATCCCGATTTTAGCTTACATGTTGATTTTTTTGACTTATATTTCAACCAATCTTAATTAAATATTCGACATATGACGTATAATGTATTCTAAAAAGATGGTCAGAAGTACGTTGAAACCGGGATTAAGATGTGTTAAATAGGTCATTAGGACTCATTTGATTGCTTTTAGAAGTAGATATACTTATATGACACTTTATTGAGTACATTGTCTTATGTGACTATTTCATAATAGTAGAAGATCTTATTTGACTCTTTTCTCATAATTAATTAACTAAAGTAGTCATCTTCAATAATTTATGTCAACTCAATAAGAAAAATAATTTTAACATTACTTATTTTAACCAATATACTCCGTACACCTCAGGCCACATAATACAGCAGTACAGTACCACTTAGCTTAGATCACACAAGTTCATGTGCTATGAATCGAAGAAAAAATCAATGAACTGTTAAAGAGACTGTTTAATTAATTGCAATTTTATACATGAATTTCGTTAATTACTCATTTCATCGTTAAGCATGAAGGCTAGAAGATCGAACACGAAGATTGGTCGGGAATTAATCAAGCATAACAAAACTGATGCTTATAATTACGTAGTACTTGTATTGATTAGGGCCGTATCCCGTATTAATTAAAGAAAATTTCATGGTACTTATGTGGACCAACTAATCAAAATTAGTGCTAATTAGCAATCTATAATCAGCAATCTACAATTAAATTAGTGCTAATTTAAGTAACACAATCTAAACTGATTTGCATTCCGTGATTGAAAATCTCAAAAATAGCAACTAATTCAAATTCATCAAACCGCCGGCCTGATGATACTCCGACAGAGGAGGCGGTGAAGAACTACTCCCACAGCACAAAACGGCGGCGTTTTCCCTCATCATCGCCGCCGTCTCCAACTCGTCAACCCTGAGCGCCGCCTTCTTCCTCAGCTCTTCCAGGGCGGCCGTGTACTCTTCCAGTTCCTTCAAACCCATGCCCTCTATCGGCATGTCCCACCAGCGGACCCCACCACCCTCGCCTTCCCTCTCCTCCACCTTCTCCTTCTCCGCCTCCAGCTCCAGACACGCCTGCTGGTAGAGCTGCTCGCTCCTCCTCAGCAGAGGGTCGTCGGGCAGCCAGTCTGGAGGGGCGGTGGCGCCAGAGAGGTAGTGGTCAATGACAGCGTCGGGCTTCGGGTGGCCGAATACGAAGACGCGTTTGCCGCCGTAGGATTCGACGATGGCGGCGATGTGGGTGCCGCAGAGAATGCAGAGCTCGCAAGCTTTGTTGAAGAGGCCGAGGCGTCTCTTGGAGAAGGCCACGTGGCGGTGGTTGACATCTTCTATCTTCTTGATATCAATTTTCCGGCGGCCTTGAGTTTTCTTCCTCTTGCTTTCCATGACAGTAATTTAAGAGCAAATGATTATACCATGCATATGTATCTTACCATTCTTGGGACTATATATAGGTGATAACTCAATGAATGTACCCTACCATACCTTTGTGCATGAATCTAGGAGAATGCAGGAGTTTCTAATTATTTAAATCTAAATTAAAAATGATAAAGTGATGTGGTCCAATCAAATGAATGTTAGGTACGGTACCCCATTTTTTAGAATGGTACCGAAGTTGTCACCTTTAAAAAATGTGGTACCGTACCTACCACTTATTTGATTGGTTCAAATCATTACATCGTTTTTAATTTAGATTTAAATAATTCAACTACATCATTCTTATTGGTCCATAAAATCTACCATATATATACTAATATACTACCTCCGTTCTTAAATAAATGCAACACTTTAACTTTTACATTATTCACATGTTCTACTTTGACTACGTTTTATTTATTAATGTAATAATATTATTTTATGAAAAAAATATTGTTAAACTTGTCTCATTGTAAATTTTCATAATCTAATTTTTTTAATTTTTTTACTAATACAAAATCATTTATATTAATGGTCAAAGTTGTGTCTCGTCAAGTGTGAAATATTGACCGTTGCATTTATTTAAGAACGAAGGAAGTATATATATATGTATATTCCTTCCGGCCACTCTCTTCCAATAATATACGGAGTACTGGATTTATTGTGCGATGCACGGAACAAAATTCAGTAAAATGATTCTCCGTATCATATTATTCATTTATAATAATTACTCTCTCCGTTCCAAAAAAGTTGACCAAACTTTTGCTTTTGGATGTCCCAAAAAGATTTGTCATTTCCATTTAAAGTAGGGGAAATGAAAACTAATAATCCAACATTTTAGCGGTCTTCTTACAATAGTCCGACATTTTTGTTATTCATGAATAATCCAACATTTGCACTTCATCTTCATTCACCGATCCCTGACCGGTTGATGACATGTTATTCCAAGTTATTTTCTTATTTTTGCAAACCATTATACCATAAATCTCACCTTTCACAAAGATAATATTTTGCAAAGATAAGAAAATAACTTGGAATAGCAGGTCATTAACCAGTCAGAGACCAACGAATGAAGATGGAGTGCAAATGTTGGATTATTCTTGAATAACAAAAAGGTAGAACTATTGTAAGAAGACTGTTAAAAGGTTGGATTATTAGTTTCCATTTTCCCATTAAAGTATGGAATATGTGCCTAAAGTTAATTCTCTCTCCTCTGCACAAATTTCAATCACACGGTTTTTACTTTTATTAATCCACGTGAAAGTCAACTTTGGCCAACCTTTTCGGGACGGAGGGAGTATATCATCAAAATTTCATTAAGTTATATTTTGTAAATGATTGAAAACAGAATACACTTAGTATACCTTAAATAAGTTAATTAAGAAGAGGAGTTAGTGTTTACATTATTGTGAAAATAGGAAAAAATATACTTCATCTGTCCATAAAAAGTAAATGAGACATTCTAAGGGACAAAGAGAGTAAGAGCCCATTTGGTAACACCATTTTTCGGCTTATTAGCCAACTTTTTCACCAAACACGTAACTTTTGAGTTTGCGCGCTGGATTTTGTAATAATAAGAAAAAGTAAGGTTGAAGTAATTTTTTGGCTGTATTGACTGAAGTTACTGTAGATGACTATTTTAGCTATTTTTTAATGTTACTTTTTCTTTATTTTATTAAAATATGTATTTTAAATTTTTATTTTCATAAATCAGCAGAATCAACCAATCCAGCCACTTCAACGAGAACTTCATAAATTTCAATAGAATCAGCCGATTCAGTGTTACCAAACGGACTCTAAATATTATAATGAGCGAGCAAACTACAATTTTTGAAAGTCTCCTTTTGTAAACAACATTAGTAATTTGTTTATCGTTCTTATCACTTCAATATAAAATTGATCATTAAAAGAGAATAGATTCAATATACTTAAAAAAGTTAATTAGGAAGAGAGGGAATTGATGTTTACATTGTTCTTGTAATAGGAAAAATTATAAATATAATAATGACTAATGAGCGAGCAAATTACATTTTCTGAAAGACTTTTTTCGTAAACAACATTCGTAATTTGTTTATCATTCTCATCACCAAACAATACTTTCAAACATTTACTATTTCTACCTCTTGACAGTGCAATATAAAATTGACCATGACTAAAGTCAGACTTTTTAGCAAAGTCCAACATAGTGATAATAAAAATTAGAAATTTCTTAATGAGTTTATATTTATGAACTTATTCTAATTTCAAAAACTCCCACGGTAGTAAATCTCGTATAGAGATTTGGAACCCAAATACCTCAAATAAGTTACATTCTTTCGCTACTTTAGTGAAACACAAATGCATCAATGTAATTTTCACTTTGTTTACCTAAAAGATGATAAAATGCTCATTTTAGCCCACTTTATGATCGAGAATCGAGATACTTCAAAATTTGTTGCTATGCTTTTTAAATGATAACCTCATATAGTCATATGTTTAAAAAACACGGACAAGAGAGTGTAACTTTAACCTCAACTACTTATTATTTATATATATCAATTCAGCTCATACAAAAAAGTGAAAAACAATACTACAGATAGTAAATATATTGATTGATAGATATATGGAAATTTTGAAAGAAGCCAAAAATCATATTGAAAGGGGCAAATACATATATGAAAAATTTGATCAACCACATTACAGACATGAAAACTTTGTGCATTTCAGCCTTAACCAAGGTCCAAGCCCTTCTCTCTCTGCCCTAAGAGTTGCAGGTCCAACTTCTCCTTGCCTTCGCTGTTCTCCCTCTCCAGTACCACATTCTTGCCCTTCATCTTCTCCACTCACCTTCACCTATCCCCTTCTTTCCGTCCTCTAGGGTCCTCTCCTTTATGAAACCTGTACACTAACCTTGCTTCCATGTGATTACATACCGTAACTCATTAAATACGGAGTACCTTTTAAATCATACTCGTAAATCTTAACTCATTAATGCTTTCAGAAACCTAACAGGTATTAATTTGAAGTATTTTAAGCAGATTATAAATTCCTTTGCTAAAATAAAAGTGATAGAGAAGAAAGAGGTTAAGAACTTGAAAAAACCCTTCATTAGAGTTTGGATACATTGGGAGATAGACATGTCTTTTACAATGGTACAACCAAACGAATTTTTGGTTCCTGCCATTACTTTTGAGAAATCCAAGGACCTCAGATGTTTTCAATCCATCATACAATATCACTTACCCAAGATGTTCTTTAGAATATAGATTTTTTATATTACATATCCTATTGAAAAAATAGATTGAAAAAACAATTTTGGAAAAAGTAATTGTCTAAGTTTTACAATGCCTTGAAGACTCTTTACCTCACACTTGAAGAGCAGAACATTATAACTTTTTCAATCCACATGTTAGCACTTGATCCATTATCTCTTCCTGCACTATATAAAGGAGTTGAATTTTCCTCTCACAAAAGAAAGTAAGTTAGGCACAAACATTTATATGTTCACTTCATATGAAATGAAAACAAATACACATAGTTTTTGTTTGCACTTTTAGTTAGAAATACTGAAGTAACATCCTTGATCTGAATAATAAGTTAGAAAAATTAATACTATGTGCCTTGCATGCGTCTTTAGATGGCTAGAGGAAAGTTCGTTCACTTATCTCGCAATTTATATATAGTACCATTGAGAAAGAAATCAACAAAAGCTATCTAACACCATCATATAAATGACAGACACTTGAAACATGGCAAGCAGTCAAGCACACTTGAAACTATGCAAGCACAAATGATTATAGTTAGTGTTTTTCTTTTGTGATAAGCTGATAAGCACACAACTGATAGTATACATAGATTAATTAAATCGCACAATGTGTAAATGTCTTAAACATATATAACCATTTAGAAAACAAACAAATAGTTATGAAAATAGCAGTAGTTTTGACAAATTTTGACAAATGTAGAACACATGCATGGAGTAACCCTTTTCAATTAAAGCAAATATTTGTCAATACAACAATGTAACAAATATAAATTTCAGTCACTTGTTTTTAACATGCAAAATCATTCTAAAACATTCTCAGTCGATGATTTTCATTTACTTAATTCATAAGTATTTACAATATATTACTCCTCAGTCCTCACTCTAAGTACTTACTTAAGATCAATCTAGTAGTAGGCATGATTCATTGTTTCATTTCAGATAAGTGAATAACATTAACGGAAGTACTTACTTTTAATAAAAATAAAAGCACAAATTGAAATCTGTCGGGGTGAGTAGTGGATCTTGGTATAGGGACATTGGTAAAATCAGAGCGCTATACAGAGAGGTGGATACAAAATTGTGAATTAAGCGTTAATCTCATTAATCCATTTGGAATTCACCCCCTTACATAAAACTCTCCATAATTGAGTTCTTTATTTTAAAAAATCTCTCTGCTATACTCCTTCATAAGTACTCTCTCTATCACTCTATGTACTCGCTTAATGTTCAAATAGGAAATTTGGATTGTTAGGATTTTAACTTATAAATAATAAATATACTTGAAAAAACATTCTAATATACTCATTTATCAGAACACCAGTTAGGAATATTCATTTTGTGATGAACTCATTAAAGAGTAAGCCCACTGAAAAATAGAGGTCATTTTTAATTTGTTGCTTGACTAAGATTTCTTTGAATCTTTAAAAAAGGTTTGAATAAGAGGTCATTTTGGCTGCAAATTCAAACAACAATGCTATCAGTAAAATAAGCATAAAAACTTTATTGACTTCTAGGATGCCACTTCAGCCTACAGAGGAGATGAGCAAATGTAAAGCTACACATGACTACAATCATTACTTGAAAATTAGCTTCCTTAGTAGAGGTACTGATACGACTACCACCACACAGTAACAATCACAATGAAGCTAAGAACAAGGTAAGAACAGAAAATTTTCATACACAGAAGGTAGGTCGTATACAGCCTTTCCCAAGAAGGAGATAAACTCCAACTCCCAGTTCCAGACAATGTGTCTAAAAACAGCCTGCCATCCTACATCAGAATTATTCTATTTATATCCTTCTACAAACAGAAGGTAGTTATTAGTTACTTAACAGCTTTTAACTAATAACCGCTAGTCTATTTTAGGCCTTTTAGAATATACTCTCCCGAATCTTCTATTCTGATTGCTTAGACTAGCTGGATCTCTATCAATACCCCCTCCTTGTAGAACCAACTTGTCCTCAAGTTGAAAGTCAGGGAATTGATCTCTGATCATATGAATATCCTCCCATGAGTCTTCAAAATCAGGAAGGCCATGCCAATGCACTAGGACCTCCTTCTTCCCTTCCTGATTCAGCCTACTGTCTCTCACAGCTTCAGGTCTCACTTGCAACTCACAATCTTCTGTGAGGCAATCTGGGAGGCTTTGATAAGCTACAGTGGGTTTCAGCACCTTCTTCAACAAGGATATGTGGAATACAGGATGTATTCTACTTCCTTCTGGCAACCTTAATCTGAAAGCAACCTTGTTTATTTTCTCTGAAATTTCATAAGGGCCATAAAATCTGGGACTCAGCTTTTGATTGATTCTCTTGGCCAAACTTCTCATTTTATAAGGTTGTATCTTTAAGAAGACTTGATCTCCCACTTCCAATTCCTCTTCTCTCCTGTGTTTATCAGCTTGTTGCTTCATCAAATTTTGTGCCCTGGCCAAATTCTCCTTTAGTTCGGTCAACATCTCATTCCTCTCAGCAGTCATTTTAGTTACTTCATCTACTGAAGTTATACTGACATCACCTCTAATGATAGCAGGAGGTGATTGTCCAAATAAAGCCTGATATGGAGTGCTTTTCAAGGAGCTATGATAATTAGTGTTGAACCAATATTCTGCCCATGGAAGCCATTTAACCCATTGCCTAGGTTTCTTCCCACTTAAACACCTCAAATATGTCTCTAGGCAACGATTCACCACTTCAGTCTGCCCATCACTCTGTGGATGGTAGGCAGTACTATATTTGAGTTTTGTCCCAGCCAATCTGAACAACTCTGACCAGAAAGAACTCAAGAAAAGGCTGTCTCTATCACTCACAATGGACTTTGGGAATCCATGTATTCTCACCACCTCCTGAATAAAGATTTCAGCCACTCCTTTGGCATTATAGGGATGTGCCAATGGTATGAAATGTGAAAACTTTGTCAATCTGTCAACCACCACCAAAATAGTGTCTTTTCCTTGTGATTTTGGTAGACCCCCAATAAAGTCCATGCTAACATCAGTCCACACTTGTTCAGGTATGGGTAGAGGTTGCAGCAATCCTGCAGGCTTTAAAACCTGATATTTATTCCTCTGACAAGTGTCACACCCTTGAATATAATCCTTGATGTCAGTTCTCATCCCCACCCAGAAGAATAAATTGGAAATCCTCTTCATAGTCCTGAAATACCCTGAATGACCCCCTATGGCTGAATCATGGTATTCTTTGAGAATGATCAAAATTCTGTGGGATCCCTTTGGTAAAATCAACCTCCCTTTGTAATAAAGTAATCCTCCTTTCCTCTTATAATCTGGATATTTATCTGGTTGAATTAACATCTTCTGCATTGTCTCCCCCCATTTAGGGTCCTTCTCCAGTTCTTCTTCCAGACCCTCCCACTCCTGACAAGTTACAGTAGATATGGCTGCATATGAGTATTTTCTGGATAAGGCATCAGCTGCCTTATTCTCAATCCCTGGTTTGTATCTAATGGTGAAGTTGTAGCCCATCAATTTGGCTATCCATCTTTGCTGATCTTCTCCCATAGCCTTTTGCTCAGTCAAATACTTCAGACTCCTCTGATCTGTATGTACCTCAAAACTCCTTTCCAAAAGATAAGGCCTCCACTTTTGAATAGCAAAAACAATAGCCATTAATTCTTTTTCATACACTGATTTATTCAAGTATTTGGGAGATAACTGTTTGCTCATATAAGCTAGAGGTCCCCCTTCCTGCATCAATACAGCCCCTAAACCTTTTCCTGAAGCATCAGTTTCAATCACAAACATTTTATTAAAATCTGGTACTCTGAGCACTGGCAAAGAAATCATGGCCTCTTTCAGATTCTGGAAAGCCTCAGTACCCATCTCATTCCATATAAACCCATCCTTCTTTAAAAGCACAGTAAGAGGAGCAGCAATCTTGCTATACCCCCTTACAAACCTTCTGTAATACCCAGTCAGACCTAAGAACCCTCTGAGTTCCTTCAAATCCTTAGGGATATTCCAATTCTTCATAGCTTCAATCTTTTCAGGATCAGCTGCCACACCATCTTCTGAAATAATATGTCCCAGATAATTCAGTTGTTTTTGGCCAAATGAGCACTTCTTTTGATTTGCCACTAAATGGTTCTTCTTCAAAGCTCCCAGAACCTTTCTTAGGTGTTCTTTATGTTCTTCCTTAGTTTTGCTGTAGACTAAAATATCATCAAAGAACACCAAAGCAAATTTTCTCAGAAAAGGCCTTAGAACCTCATTCATTAGTGACTGAAAAGTGGATGGAGCATTAGTCAGCCCAAAGGGCATAACTAAATACTCATAATGACCCTCATGGGTCCTGAAAGCTGTTTTATGTGTATCACAGTCTTTCATCCTGATCTGATGGTAACCTGCCTTGAGATCCAGTTTTGAAAAAATTCTGGCACCACCTAACTCATCCAACAGCTCTTCAATTACTGGAATAGGAAACTTATCAGGAATAGTAACCTTATTCAAAGCCCTATAGTCTCCACAAAACCTCCAGCCCCCATCTTTTTTTTAGCTAATAGAATGGGGCTACTATACGGGCTATTGTTGTGTTTAATAATTCCAGATTTCAACATTTCTGCAATAATCTTCTCAATTTCATTTTTCTGATCAAATGAATACCTGTATGGTCTGATATTAGGTATCTCTGCTCCTTCTTTAATATTTATGGCATGATCACAGTCCCTTGCAGGTGGAAATTGTAGTGTAGAACTAAATACTTCTGAGAATTCAGCTATCACTTCTCCCCATTCAGTTTCCCTGTCATCCATATCAGTCAGTTTCCCAGATTCTCCTTCACAGTATAACAAGAACCCCTCACCTTCCTGATGTAATATGTGACCCATAGTCTTCAAAGTCACCTCTATCTGATTAGCATTTGGATTTCCCTTTATGATATATGTTTCCCTTTTCTGATTCCACTTTAGGATTTGATGCTTAAAGTTTACCTCCATGTCTCCCAAACCAGTCAGCCATTCCATTCCCAACACTATATCCACACCTCCCAATTCCAAGATGTAATAATCTTGTTGAATCTGTACTCCTTGAATTTCCAATTCTGCCACTGAACATCTGCCCCAATTGGGTATACATTCACCATTCCCAATCTGGACCTTATAACCCTTAATTGGATTGTAAGGTATGTTCTTGCTCTCCACCAATTTTCTGGACAAGAAATTGTGTGTAGCACCACTGTCTATTAACACAGTGACCTCTATCACTCCACCAATCCATTTCATCTTCCCTATCACCTTGAAAGTAGTCATAGAGGATATGCCTTCCTTACTTAGGACTGAGAGTTGCATGTTCTTGTTTTCCATTTGATTGGTAGTACTTATGAATTCTTCTACTGTTTCTTCTCCCTCAATCTCTGAATTCTCTTCCCCTTCAGAATCCTCTACCAACACCATCTTGTAGTTTTTCATTTTACAAGCATGACCTCTGCTCCAATTCTCACCACATTTAAAACACAACCCCTTCTTGCTCCTCTCCAACAACTCTTCTTGAGATAATCTGGTCCCTTGTCTTCTTTCAGAAACTTCTTTCACTTCTGGCTGCTTTCTGATTTCACTGGCCCCTTTGTTTACTGTACTGGAGTTTCTCATAGGTCCTGGATAGCTTCTCCATTTATTATTTTCATTCCAACTCTGTCCCTGACCCTGAATGATATTCCTGCCTTGTCCCTTCTTCTTGTTTTCCTCCTTATTCTTCATTAAAACTGCCTCCACATTCTTGTTTTCAATCAATGTTGCTTTATCCATCACCTCAGCCAATGTCCTGGTCTTATAGAGCTTCAATTCTGCTCTAATATCCCTTTTCAGCCCTTTTAAGAACACACCTTTCAACACTTCTTCAGATAAATGTCCTTGGGATGCAATAGTTGTCTCAAATGTATCTCTATACTCGGATATGGATCCCTTCTGTTTCAGACTAAATAGAGGCCCCAAGGGATCCTGAACCAAATTAGGTTGAAATCTCCTGGTCAACGCCCGTGTGAATGAGTCCCAATTCAGATGCTGTGCCTGTCCCTCCCACCATTGGAACCAGCTGAGAGCTTGGTCTTCCAATGCGATGACCGCTACATCCAATTTATCTTCTTCTCCTGTCCGATTCAATCGGAAGTATCTGTTCATCCTTAACAACCAACCAGAAACATCCTTCCCGTTGAATAAGGGCAAGTCAATTTTTCTGGCGCTATGATTCTGATTTCTATGATTCCGTCTAGGTTCGCAATTGTGTTGCGAGACGGAATTGTTAACTGCCTCATCCGAACTATCTTCTTCTCGCGGATTCCTCTGATGAGCTGTTCGCAGTGAGTTGTTCGATCGTCGCGACTGACTCCGAGATCGATTGGTCATCTGAACTTGTAATTCAGCGATACTGGCTTGCATCGCAGTTTGCATCGCTGCAATATTCGCAGCTAAATTATCCATGCTCGTTTGTATCTCACGTTGACCTCGCTCAACGTCATTCATTCTCCCTTCCATTTTCTTCCTCGTGCCAACCATTCACCACGGCAACCAGTCTCTGATACCAATGATACGACTACCACCACACAGTAACAATCACAATGAAGCTAAGAACAAGGTAAGAACAGAAAATTTTCATACACAGAAGGTAGGTCGTATACAGCCTTTCCCAAGAAGGAGATAAACTCCAACTCCCAGTTCCAGACAATGTGTCTAAAAACAGCCTGCCATCCTACAGCAGAATTATTCTATTTATATCCTTCTACAAACAGAAGGTAGTTATTAGTTACTTAACAGCTTTTAACTAATAACCGCTAGTCTATTTTAGGCCTTCTAGAATATACTCTCCCGAATCTTCTATTCTGATTGCTTAGACTAGCTGGATCTCTATCAGGTACCAACACCGATGTTTTCTTCCTCAAATGCGTCCTTTTTTTCGTTTCAGTTCTCTGTGACCTGAACAAAGAAGGTAATATACATTAATTGGCTTCCGTGATGCCACTTCAACCTGAAAAAGGAGATGAAAAATTCAACCTTAGCCTTGAAAGATACATGTTTATGGAAATATATCTCAACCTTAGTTTATATGAAAAGTTGATCTTTGTGCTAAACCTTCAAGTATTTTGTTTCCTTCTCTCATAAAATGGTGCCTTATGAAACATAATTTTGAGATGCCAGCCACCATAAAATCATTACTGAGCAGGTTATAGGCATATGCAGAGTGATCACCTTATCAATCAAATACATTAGACCTAAAAAATAGCATGGAATGAACAGTTAATACTCACTTGCTCAATGTATAAGTACTCACTTGCTTTAAATGCTCAGATTAGGTAAGATTGTAAGAAGACAAAAAAAAACAGGTAAATTTTTTCAGAAAATGGTGAGCAATTTGATATTTAGGACTGCATTAAGTAGAGTATAATATGAAACTAAGTGGTGAGATTTAATTGTCCATAATACAAAACCACCATTTAAAACATCTTAAAGCATATGAGATTGAAATTGAGTATTCTTTGAGAGATTGAATAACATAGGAAAAAATGGTATACATGCAAACTCACTGAAATCAATTCCTTCCTACTTTGCTTAATGTAAACCAAACCATAAAGCATAAACAATCCCCATTAAATTAAACTGTAGCCATTGAATCCTTTAAAGTTGTAAGAGCTGCGATGCTTCTTTAGCCATATTTTTGTAGTCAGCGAAAAAACAGAAGCACATTCTTAAGCATGTAAATTCATATGATAATGTGGATTCATAGACAGTTGGAAAAACACATATAAAAAGGAATCAAGAATTGAGTTTTTGAATTCAAATAACTGAATGCCCAAAACAGTAAGCAATTCAAAGGACAATCAAACAAAAAAAAATATGAAATCAATCTCTCATTCATAAACCAAAGCCTAGAGCACTTATGCCTTATATGTTTAACTGAAAAAAATATACAATCTTGGCACATCTTTCAACCGCTCGACCCTTTATTAACTTTCAGACTTTAGTGCAATTGATGGACCGACTTTTCATGACACATGATAGTGACATTTTTTGAGCGGGAAAACTAAAAAATTTCCACTTGCTTTTATATAGAGATAGATTTTAATGTTTTCAATGTGTTTAGAGTTCATATAATAACTTCTGTGTATGAATTAACTAAGAATTATGGAATTACCCTGATTAAGCTTCTTCACTATCAAGGAATACTTCTAAGCAGCCTGCAAGTAAACTAAAAAAAGATGACCAAATCAATGAAGTTATAAAAGGAATGTTATTCCGGGATTAGTAAAAACGTGGGAGCAGAACAGAAATGAAATGAAGTAGATATTGTATTATAGTTTTAGGCAATAGAAGGTTATACCTTGTACGAAAACCCACCGATGTAATAATATATGAAAAGTGTTCATCTGAGTAAGGAGGATATGCCAGAAATCTGCATTGGGTTGAGATAAGGGCCATAATCACTCGACCCATATAGCAGTATAAGACCGCATTCAATAGTTAGCTAAAAATATGAAATGACAATATTCATGATACATATATTTCGAAATAATCAAATGACTGACATTTTTCAAGCTTATTGTTCATTTAGCAACTCAATAAAAAAGAAAACAAAGAAAACCATACCTACCACAGTTTGGCTGCTTATCTGCCAATGAACATAACATGGATTATTTAACTTCCCACCTTTAGTCACCTGCTATTGTTTATACTTAAATGTTTAAACAATATATTAAAAATGCCTTTTTTACTTGAACAAATCTAGTGATAGCAGAAACAAATACAACAAACAATCTTATAATAGAGCAAATTCATCATTCAAACAAATGATGTGGAAACTGTTAGTGATAACAGATACAATCTTTTGGTCCCACGTTTTTTGTAGTCAGCGATAGCACATGACAATTGTTTGTAACTGCATTGTATCAGCCGGGATTGTTTGTAACTGCATCATTCTAAACTTCATTTCTTAATGATATAAATGCGTAGCTAGGATGGATGCAAGCAAAACAACCTTTTCGTGGTGCCCGCCTTGGCTTTAACCGCACAAACTGGTAGAAGAATGGGAGGAACACGTGTCTCCCCTCCCAAATGTGGAAAATAAAGAACACCAAGGTATTAGTTGGTTTTAGCCTTTAAAAGATTATATCAGTACAAACACCTAGACACATGCATGATCTATAATGTTGTTAATATCCCTTTTTTTTAAAAAAATCTACACTTCATAACAGTTTATCATTGTTTTTATTGTAGAAACATGCTGCGCATATGCTATTTGGGCAACAATGATGGGTCAAGCAGCTATCATGGCGAAATATGAAGACGTGGCGCCGATTCCTATTCTCTCATTGGAGCAACTGAGAGAGATGTACTTCTCCGGGATGGGGGCCGAGAGCACCCTGTTGGTGAAAGGGATCCTGGTCCTGACCTGGATGACGGGGTCACCTCGCCCTTCGGCCAACTCCCTCTCAAGGGCGCTGACTTTGTTCATGAGGGCGTTGAGGCCAGGGTTGTTGGAGGCGCCGGCCGTGGGGATGTTCGCCGATTGCCTGGTCTCCATCTGGGCCAGCCTCTTTTCCAGCTGGGCGATGACCTCGTCCCGGGGGTCCCTGGCGGCCGCAGCGGCGCCCTGCTAGTTCTTCATGCGCTCGTCGTGGGCTGCGTTGATCTGGTGGCGCACATCGTCTTCGTGCAATTTTCCCTTGCCCTTGTCCAGGCGGGGCTGGTCCGCTGTCCGGGACACATACCCCAAGCTTTCCCTTGGCGAGCCAGGTCGACGCTCACCAATCCGCCCTGCCATCCTCTCTGAAACCGGACGACGGCGCGTGTCACCTAGCCTATTGAAGGCAGAGGCTTTTCCACGCGCTGGGGTCTGCCCAGGCCGAAGAGGGGAAGCGGGGTGGGAGTGGGACGACGCCGTGTCCTAGGCCATCACCCCCTCATCGTTGCCTATCCTGACGGCCAACGGTTGGGGCTGAGGAGGTGGAGTGACGTTCCCCCCAGTCTTTGGCAAGAGTGCGCTGAGGACGATGGGGTTCTGGGCCAAGCTGGCGATGATGACCGACAGCGCGGCCTGGACCTGTGGATCCACAGACGGAGAAGCCGCGGACATAGGCTGGGCCGGGGCGTGGTCTGTCTTCTCAGCTCGTTTCTTGTCCAGGCCGATGCGGGCATCAGGGGCTCCGCCGTTGAGTTGGTTGCGGAGGTCCGTCGTGAGGTTGATGGCCTCCTGAAAGACGTCCCCTCCGCCGACCTGGTCGGTCGTAGCGTCCTCCTCATGCGCCATGATCTCCTGATCCTCAGGGATGGCCTTGCTGACGAGGTTGCGGTTTGACTTAGTTCTTCCCATGGTCAGTGGTTAGTTGTGCTTGGTAGCGACGAAGGGTGCTAACTTGATTGTTCTAGCTCTCAATGAAAGCACCAAATGATAGAGTATATATCTAGAGAAAAGTGAGAGCTAGAGAGAGAAGTGCAAGTGATGCTTCAATAGAATGCTTTTGTAACCCCTATAACTACCTCCAGAGGAAGTATTTATAGGGAAAATACAGGCTGAGCTCCCAAGCCTTGGGCTTGGGAGGCCCATTTACAACTGGACCGCTATTAGGCCGAATACAGAGCCACTGGTGGGCTATATAAATGAATAAGTGTAAAATCCGGTTCTGTGAGACTTCCGTGGCCGATGAGGGTCTGGCCGACGAGGACACGGCCGATGAGGGCACGACCGATGAGGACACCCTGGTTCCTTGGCTTCAGGATCATATTCTGAGTTGACCCCTCTTCGGCCGATGAGGGTCTTTGACCGACGAGGGCACCACGTAGTGGCTGTGCTTTCTGTTTTTATGAGTATGTGGGTCCTGGGGCCTAGACCCATATACTCCATCACTCTATCATATGGGAAAAAAATTACGACCTTACCTATAAACGTGTGGTTATATTGGAGGGATAAACATGTAGTTGTATTGAAGGAATGAAAGATATATATGGTTTATGAAAAAGGCCCCGTGTATATATATATATATATATATATATATATATATATATATATATATATATATATATATATATATATATATATATATATATATATATATATATATATATATATATACACGAATATAAATTTAGGTATATACTGAGTAGTTTTCTTTGATGTTTAAGAAAACATTGAGTAAAACAAGTGGGGCATGCCTTTAACGTGCACTCACCTACACAATACTTTTTTTCCATAATTCTATTCTGAGCTATGGGGATGATTCTACACAGGTTCACACAAATCTTTGACAAAACTTCACTAATGTGTCTTATTAGCCCCCCCCCCCCCCCCCCCCCCCCCCAACATTTTCAGATAAGTTAGGTTTTATTAACATGACATGACAATACCACCCACCCCTGAATTCTTTACTGTTTCACACCAAACAAAGTGGATTTGTGTTTAATCAATTGAAATACAAAACCTGCAACAAAGTGATTTTCTACCCTTTTATATTTAATAGTTACATTTTATGTCCTTTTTTGTCTCTATTCTCTTAACCGTCCCTTCTGAAATGGGATAATAGAGGTAAATGCGTTAACTAAAAATACTTCCTTTGAATATAAATGGTTTTTCTATTAAAGCTAAATAATGTAGAATTGCATCTATGTGTGTCAGTATTTGCATATGGTTTTGTCTATTTTTTGTCCTAGATATTTCATTCTAATATTTAATGGTCCTACATGCCTAGATGATGTATCTAATTAATAACAAAGAAGTTAAAACCATAGTTTTCATTATGTAATTGCATAATCGAAACTACACAAATACAACATGTATATGCTTCCTTTTCTTACTTTCTTATTGATTTCAATTTAAGGGAACTTTCAATTCCAATTTTTATTCAACCCATTCAAGTCAATTCCAATTCCAATTCCAATTCAATTCCAATTCAACCAATTCATCCTCCTTCATTTATTGTTTCTATTGACTTAGGTAAGGCATTATGGACAACATAATGGGATTATCTGGAAGTTGCATTTGGTTTAAGCAAGTATGTTTATTTTCACATTCTTTTGCAAATGAGTTTAGTTGCTTTTATATTGTTTTCATATTGCATTAGAAATGAATCACAGATAAATGTGCTTAATGTGTTTAGAGTTTAGTTGCTTTAATAATGTTTTATCAGGATTGGGAATGATATTTGTTGAGCTTAAAGAATGAATTGAGTTTGAGACATGAATCACAGATTAAGCTCAACACATTAATCACAAATTGTGCTTTATGGAAATTTAAGTAAAAAATTAAATAAGCAGTTGCCTTATTCTACATTTATTGGACAAATGCTCCCATAATTATATTTAGGTGGAATTTGACTTTGCTCCCCATTTTTTTGGGTGATATTGGACTTTGCATCCAATTTTGAAAAAAAATTGATTTTGCACCCCATTCCACTTAAAATTCCTTTGACTTTGCACCCCATTTTGAAATTTTTCTTCACAAAATGGTATGTGTTGGGGTGCAAAGTCAAAGTTTTTTGAAAATGGAGTGCAAAGTCCAATATCACCCAAAAAATGGGGTGCAAAGTCAAATTCCCCCTTATATTTAACTTGAATGATACAAGCACATTATATGGAACCTCACCAAGTCAATTCCAAGTTCAAATATACTGTAGTTGAAATTTGTTTTTTTAGATGAGTTAGTTGATTCTAATTGAAGTGCATCTCTAAAACTAGCCATAAAATATGGCTTTTACATAGTCCATTTTTTTCTAACATATGAGTTAGTCGATTGATAAGTCCATATTTCGACACACATTTGATGCGTGTTGGGATCGATTTTTGATGGTTTTCATAGCTTTAAAGTTTTACAAGTCTCAATTTTAGCTCAAGTTATGTTACCAAGCGTTGGTTCGAGTTTTATGTCTTTTGGAGTCAAAATCAGGGAACTTGAGCCCAACACCGGCGCTCGAGAAGAAAACGGAATGATTAGAGAAGCATTTGAGAGTGAATTGAGAGCTTTGGAGGTCACCGGGAGGTTCACAATGAAGATTTGATGATAAAAGAGCTCTAGGATTGGCTATGAGATCAAAAGAATACGAATAGAGCTTGAAAATGGCGATAAGGATGACCTTCTGTCAATCGTTCAAGCATATCTCTTTATAGAAGCATCCAAAGGACACGATTCAAGTCTCAAGTGAAAGACAACTTCGAGGGCTACAAATCATATGAAGAAACCATTGCGAGAATCTGAGAAGAAGAAGATGAAAACAGACGATGAAGCCAGATAATCGCTGTTGGGATTTCAGAATGCGACCTTCCATCATTGTATTCATATCCTTTGATGGGATGATCCAAATCCAATGCGGCAAGTTGTGGTGGATAGAGGACTTCATTATCGACAACTTTCATGAAGGAAGTTTTGTCAAATTCGGACTATAGAATCTAGAAAACTCACTGGAATCCACGCACACGTGCGTGGGAGACGCACGCGTGCGTTCAATGTTTTTACACGCAAGTTTGTCGGACGCCACGCACGCGTGCGTGGGGGCCGTGCGTGCCCGAATTCTTTCCTAATTCAGCCCAAATTGCCTTGTTTCCTATAAATATCACTCCTAACCCTAATTAAAGGGGGGTGAGACTTAGAGAGAGCTTAAAAACGAGTTAAGAGAGCTTTTCAGCCTGATTTCTTCAACTCTTTAAGATTCTTTGTAAGTTTCTACTTTTTGATTAATGACAATTATTTCTATTTTTCCCAATTCTATTGATTCTTCAATTATGAGTCGGGAGTAGTTTTAATTAGGGATTTGTGGTTGATGAAGGGGTTTATCATGATGTATGGCTGGTTTCTTGATGGTTTAATTGCGTGAATGTCGTTTAATTTGTGTTTGAATAATTTAACTGATATCTTTTGTAACCTAGAATGGCCACTAGAATTATGATTGCACATAGAATAAATTAAGAGAGATCTAATTTGTTCTAGGACACATTCACGCACACTTAATCGTTCGCTAAGAGATTAGTAGCGATTAAGGGGCCGTAAGCTCGTTTGTTTTGGAAATAATTTAAGATCCTGTCGCATGAGAGATCAGCCTAGTCCCCTAAATTATTGTACTCTACGCCGCGAGAGCGGTAAGAACGTAGTATTGATTAGCCAGACTCAATTAAATTAAATTTATGTAATTAGGCCTGGTCTGCCCGAAATCTGATTACCCCGGAATCAATCCCTGTTCCCTTTGTCGTTAATCAAAAGAACCCAAATCTTTATTTTTATTCACTCATTCACATTAGTTTAATTTCCATTCAACCAATCAATCTCGCACAACGCATTTATTTTATTTTATTTTTAATCGCTGAATTTAGTTAAACTTTAATTCCCTTTTGTCTGTCCCTGTGGAGACGATACTCGTACTTTCACCATTATTCTACTATTAATTTAAGTGCGAGAAAACTCACATCAGATTTTGGCGCCGTTGCCGGGGACGGTGTTGGTCTTAAGGGTTAATTTAACTCAGCGATTCGATTTTAGTTTTTTTCGTAGGATTTTTGTCTGCTAACCTTGCAGGTCAGATCTGTTTATGCATACACGCTCCAAGAGGGGAGAACCGTTAATCCATCTTCATCTTGAGATTGAAAGGCTTGACAGACAGAACCGCAAGGCTCACAAAGAGAAAATTACCATGGACCATCAATCTTCATCTCGAAACATAGGATCATCTAGTAACCCTAACCCTACTACTCAGCCAGATTTCTATCATAACACATCACCCCAATTTTCACCACCAATTTCACCTAGAAACCTTCCTGGTTTTCAAAAAAGTAATTGCCCTAAATAGGACTAAAATAATAAGAAAGTTCCTAAATAGGACTACTCTCTAATTTATTCCCTAAATAGGACTATTTTAATAACTCACCGTTTCCTATTCCTATAATGTCCCTACACATAATTAAAAGTTTAAAACACAAGTTCCTCTTTATTTTTCTAACCTTCCGTAACCCACAACCACTTCTTCTCTCTCCTCTCTTTTTCTCCCCCCCTTCTCATTTCTCACGCACCCCAATCCCATCTTATTGAGAAAATGGTCAAATAAGGCCTTCTACTATTATGAAATAGTCACATAAGGCCATGTACTCAATAAAGTGTCATACAAGTACCTCTACTTGTATAAAGCAATCAAATGAGTCCTAACGGCTTATTTAACACCTCCTAATCCCGATTTTAGCTTACATGTTGATTTTTTTGACTTGTACTTCAGCCAATCTTAGTTAAATATTTGATATATGCCGTATAATGTATTCTAAAAAGATGGTCAGAAGTACGTTGAAACCAGGATTAAGAGGTGTTAAATAGGTCATTAGGACTCATTTGATTGCTTTTTACAAGTAGAGGTACTTATATGACACTTTATTGAGTACATGGCCTTATGTGACTATTTCATAATAGTATAAAGCCTTATTTGACCCTTTTCTCCATCTTATTTTATCTTCTCTCTCTTTCTCTTCTTCCTTCTCTCCCACCACACCCACCTCACATCTACGAACTTCCCCCACCCCTTCTTTCTTCTGCATCCCACTCCCACATTCAAAGGTCTGGTCTTCTACTTCGGCAGTAAGGTGCGACTCCGACGACATGGTGTGATTCCGACGATGTGATGCGAATCCGACGATGTGGTGCGAATTCTTTCTTCGGTAAATATCTCACATCTTCTCTTTCTCTTTTACCTTTCATCCTCATTTTCTTCTCTTCATTTGGATCTCTGTATTTTTTTTTTTAATTTTTAGATTCAAAATTGGAAATTTTAAGTATAGGTTTTAAAGTTTAGGAGTAGAAAATCTGAGGCTCCACAAGTTGTTTATATAACAAAATCATATCTGACTTTTTATTATGAAAATACAAACGTCCAGCGATTTAAAAAAATTAAACCAGTTTTTTATTAATTTTAATTTCTTTATTTTAGAATTTTCAATTTAATGAATTTGGATCTGAAAAATCTGTAGCTAATGTTTATTTTTTCGAAAACATATTTAAAAAA